TATTTTTCACAATTTTGAGTACTGTTGTTATAATTGTTAGATCTAAATAGGTATTGTGCATTAAAGTGAGGTTAACATTCTCATTCAAGGAAATGTGTCTTGGAAGATTATCTGAATACATTGCTTTGAAACGAGGATGTATGGACAGCTACGACTAATAAAAAGAGGATTTATTTATAACATTGATATTTCAATTTTCCTACTTTCTAAAATTAGTTTTATTCCAAATAATTAAAGTGGGGGTTTTCTGAAAGTCAGGTCGTAAGCAAACGGTTTGTTTGAAGTTAAGCAGGAAGCTACACAATGGGCTGTCTGTACTCTGCCCACCACGGGTATCGAAACACCCTCTTCTAAAACAATTAACAAAAAATGGCTATAACTATACTAAATTATGTACAAGTGAAATTCGGAAGCATTTTTCTTGTAAATGTAATGAATCCATTGTAATATATATGACTCAGCATTCTTGCTATAAGTAACAAGCTTTGGCTATCTCTATACCAAATTATATTTAAGTACGAAGCTTTGAGATCTTCATACTGTCAAACGTTACTGTTTTCTGTCCTGGTGTATAGAAATAACTATTTAATTGTGAAGTTATTTCAATTTTAGATCTAACACCAAAGAAGGGATAATATAGTAGAAATAATATTATTAGCTGATGTAACTTACCTTGTTTATTCAGAACTGTACATTAAATATTTTCATACAATAGAAACCTAATAAGACTGGACTGAATATATACTTTGTTTATTCCAGCATAATAAGAAGATTACTAGTTGAATATCAGTAGTTATTCTGTGTATTATTGTTGTTATTTCGTAGCTTATAAATGTAGTATACCTAATGAATATTCATAATGTTTTGTTGTTGTTGTTTTTTTACTTTTTGTAATACTTAACTTGAGAATACATCTTGCAGAAAACAAGAGTTACTCGTTCTTAAATAGAAAATAAAGAAATGAAGTAAACATAGGGCATGACTCGACAAAATAAAATATGCGTATTAATAAGCTTAATGGCAGGAGAATAGCTCCGGAAAAAGGATCTTCACAGTGGTAGTAATATACGCTCCTTCACTGTTTTGCTCATCTGTCATGAGAATCAAAATTAATAATTAATTTAGTAATTCGCTATAATCAATCACTTGGAGGATGGCTAGATGCTCATAATTATACTGAAAATTTTATAGATATAAGAATTAAAGAAACAAGTAAAAATATAACATTAGAGTTGATAACCAAATCTTATTTTGTGAAGCTGGAATCCAGATACTGGTTATACGATTTCTGTATCTTAGTTGTAGAATAATCTATAGTTATTAAAGGTTAATTCAATAATACGTACTTGACAAGAAGTACAGCAATGAAAATAATTACAGAATGTCACAAGCAATGTACATACAGACGTCACAAACAGCAAATGATGGTGACTTATTAATACTACATACAAAGGAAAAGTTGTACAATACACTAGTGTGTTTTACGTAAGCCATCTGCTTTACACAAAGGAATATTGTTTCAAGTATTCTGTATTATTCCATAAAATTTATGAGAGTAATATAGAAAAATATTGTTTCAAGTATTCTGTATTATTCCATACAATTTATCAGAGTAATATAGAAGAATATTGTTCCAAGTATTCTGTATTATTCCATACAATTTATCAGAGTAATATTGAGGAATATTGTTCCAAAGTATTCTGTATTATTCCATACAATTTATCAAAGTAATATTGATGAATATTGTTCCAAGTAGTCTGTATTATTCCATACAATTTATCAGAGTAATATTGAGGAATATTGTTCCAAGTCTTCTGTATTATTCCATACAACTTATTCTCTTTGTTCACTTTTTGAACTTCTCAACTTTTATATAAGCCCATACAGCTTCATTAATGTCCATATCGGGACTTTGTGTATGTCAAGCCATGGTTGTGATTGTTCCATTGGCTTCTTCGCCGTTAAGTTATCGTTTCACTATTTTTGCTATATGCTTAGAATTATTGTTTCGCTGGAAGATGAATCTCACTAGATGAGTTGTATTCCTTGAGAAATGGCATGATTAAACGAAGTCTATATTTACTATTTAGCAATCAGGATACCGTCAATGTTGTGTGGATCACCGACACAGCCGGCTGAGATGTACCCACAGACTTTCACTCATACTTCGTCGTACTTCAGTGTAGTTGTTGTACACTGACTATCATACCGTTCTCCTATCCGCCATCAAATAAACCGTCGTTGGTTTTCTGAACAATTTCAATATAGATTGATCTGTAAAGAGCATTTGTCTCCAGCTTTGCTGATTCCACTGTTTGTGTTGTGATGTATATTCCAAGCTTTTTCTTTGGTTATCGCTAACTATTAGCGATTTTCAAGCATCTGCACCACATCGTGCTGATATTTATCTGTAGCAATACCGCTGGTCGTCTATCTATCTTCTAAGGAACATATCTGATATGTTAAACATCATTTTTAGAAAGCAACGGTTTTTTAATATATCGCGTAAACTTTATAGTAAGTGTGTTATATTTTGTTTAATTGGTAGCCAGATTCCAATTTAATATTTTGCTGTTCTAAGATCTTATCATGAAAGTAAAGATGAAGAATGTATAATAATATGTCAACCACAAGATATGTCGCCCTTTAACAAGCCGGAATGTATAACAATATGTCCACCACAAGATATGTCGCCCTTTAACAAGCCGGAATGTATAACAATATGTCAACCACAAGATATGCCGCCCTTTAACAAGCCGGAATGTATAATAATATGTCAACCACAAGATATGCCGCCCTTTAACAAGCCGGAATGTATAACAATATGTCAACCACAAGATATGTCGCCCTTTAACAAGCCGGAATGTATAATAATATGTCAACCACAAGATATGCCGCCCTTTAACAAGCCGGCTGGGATACGACAGACACAGTAGTAGTTGACGCATTACTTATATTATCACAATGTGAACCAGATTAAGTTGGTGAAGTATTGCGTATACACTCGTAATGAGTCATAAGTTTGTTTTCTTTTTTTTGGAGGGGGGGTGCTGTATCCCTAACAATTTATATGTCTAGAAATTATTTCTAGTATGCTGTAAGGAAAACCATTAACTAGCCTTAGACTATTTATTTAGTAATTATTTGTACTGAAGCATGATCAGAGGCGAACGATCCTTCTGTATAAGGATAATTTTTGGAGTAAATCTGTTAAATGTACAATAATCATTTGATCATACACGACAAGAAGCCATGATTTATTTCCAGGTACAGAGCTTATCCGTATAGTAAGAGGATTATTTTTTGCATAAAAAGAATCCTTAAATGTTGAAATAAGTTTAAATACTTATATGTATAGTTGTAAAGAAAACAAGGAACGAAATATTCTTTTTTGTTTTTTTCTAAACGCTGTATTTTAATTTCAAAATAGCATATCTACGATAATTAATCGTTAGTGTTATTGTTTGCTCCAATGAATGCAATTCCTATATTAATATCCAAGAAACAATCATATCAATTTTTATCTCCATATACCTAAATTATATAGACTACTAACTAGCGTATAAATACGTTCATTTACTGGCTCTCATATACAAACAATACACATGTACGGATTAATGTGTGAAATGAGGGACAGGATTTTGCACTTGCCCATTAATTCTTTATTTTGTGAAAACATAAGAAGAAGAAGAATATGTTACACATGTAGGTCCACATCTTCCTTAGATATCTTTTCTTGCACAAATAAAAAGACTGACTTTATGTTCAGTGATAAACTTGTTGACGAGAGAAACCTAAAACAAAAAATTCCTTAGAGTATAGTAAAGAGAATTTTGAATGTTAGAAGGGTTCACTTAGAGTGTTACTTCTAACTTGTGTAAAATTTACTGTGTTCTTTCCCACAGTAAAAAAAAGCGTAAGACTAACCATCCGCCTTCACAGTAGTTTTCTGAGATATACTACATTATAAATTATGCATAATAAGTTAGAGTTATATTTTTCGACTTGGCTTGATTAAACTCGTATATTTCGGTGGATAAATAAACAATATTTAATACACTAGATGTAATTTTATTCCTTTTGTAGATATTTCATAAAGCTAAAATCCAAATTACAAAAGTGCTTAAATTAAAGTTCTGGCATCTGACAACTAATAATCATTTTGTTTTGTTTTGTTTTTTGAGGAGAAAAGAGTGACTATTCGGCTTCGTATATAAATATAAGAAAATTTTTACCGCTTAGGTTTTTAAAGAAATTAAGCTCAAGTGCTTATATGGTTTATATGACTCTCTTCCTGTCATGAAATAGCACTTAAATACACGAACTTATTCAACATTTTCATAAAACCACCATAACTATAATTACTTTATAATATAACTTATATAATATAATATTACTTTACTATATAAACCCAACTTTATTTGCCGCTTGATGCTTCAAAATACATTATAATGAAACATTATCAGACATAAGTAACAAATCGATCATTCTAAAATATCTAATATGTTCACTAAAATCTAACATATGCATGTTTAATTATGATGCTTCAAAATACATTATAATGAAACATTATCAGACATAAGTAACAAATCGATCATTCTAAAATATCTAATATGTTCATTAAAATCTAACATATGCATGTTTAATTATCGAAATTTTTAAAACGGCGTATTCATGTTTTAAGAAATGTTGAATAAGTAACTGCTTATTTTAATATTCCTATTTTTAGATTAAAAGTACTGAACAGTCGTTGTTCATTATGATGCTCTTGATAAAAGAGCATCTTCAAACATTCTGTTTATCACCCATTATTTAGGTCCATGTGATTTAAGTTAAATATATTTAAAGCTGTAACTGTAAGCGTTTGGTGTGTTTGTGTAATAATCCGGCAGTGAATCTTTAGGTTTTGTGATTTGTTTCGTAGCTATAAATCGTATGTTTGTTTGTTTTCTTATGTATACAAAAAAACTATAGAAAGTAATTCCATGCAGTATATTTTATTTTAATACATAGTAGTTGAATACAACATAAATAACAATAAATCCATGAAACATCCTATACTATATTTTCTCAATATCATATCCATAAACTTAACATATGTAGATATATATTTCCATCACTTTGCAACAAACAACTTTCAGTATGATTTTTCTCAACAAAAATCAAATGCTTTTCCACAATATTCGAAATGCGTTGTTAGAATTTATTTAACATATCATTCTTATAACTTTCTCTAAACACATGATATACACTTACGATATACAAGTTAAGACTTATGACAAACGTAATAGAGTAGCTTGTTCGTCAATTCTAAATAAGAACAAACTATAGCTATTAAAACAGTGAATCGTTTAAACGACTGCTAAGCTACAATAGTAGAATATACAAGCTCTATTATCCTTGATGAATAAAACTGATCTATTTGAAATAAAACTTCAGTAAGCTCATCGTGTTTGTTTTTTTCGCTTAAATCAATTATTGTGAAATCAAGTTGAGTTTGTCTTTGACGTACATTTGAAACTCTACTTGTAATAGTTAAATATCTTATCTTAGTTTATGCTTTCAGATCAGACACGTTAAAACTGAGAAACTATGATATCAGTTGTATACTAATACTAAACTTAAATGTAATGGATACGAATATGGCTAATAATGTAAGCTTGACGATAAATGTTCCTCTATATCATATACCAAGTCTTCTTCAACTGAGTAGTGATATGTAACTTCAGCACATACTACAAAGACCACACCTGAGATTCAATCAACATACAGAATATCTAAGGTATGAAGAATCACAGCTCACCTAGTTAGTGTAGCTGAGTGTCTAACAACGTTCATAGGTTCAAGTAACTCATATTAGTTGCACTGTTCCATAATACTGGAAACTCATTCACATGAGAATAGGTGATTTAACCTATACAATTCTAGCAAACTACAAAGTGTAAGCCAATCAGAAATGGTGAAAGTTAAAACTGGCAAGATCTATATAGATAGTTAAATACACAGATAGCAACTATTAGCCACTATAAATTACCGAGTTTATGTCTTGATTAAATACACTAAACGACAAAACTGTATCATCTGACCTTCTCCATACATTTTCATATTTTAAAAAGAAAACTGTTTATTCTTTAATATAGGAGTAGGCTTAATTTAAGAAAGGAATGAAAATTCGCTTCCCCCTTAGTTCTCTAAGCCTTCCTTAATAATGCTGAAACACAAATAAATATAAAAAGTTTGTTTCCATTTGCATGAGATATGAAATATTAACTTATCAATTAAAAATAAGCATGTACTTATGTTTCAGATGTCTTCTCAGTTTCCTTAAGAAAATCAGATATCAGGATATGTGTAGATTTGTAAGCAGTTTTATCCCTAATTCTTGCAAGTATAAGGAACAGGACCGTCATTGTGTGAGATATATCACTGTGTGTTTAAGACTGGACTCTAAAAGTATAAAGTCCAAAAGAACTAAAAAAATTATAAAAAAAAATTGTTTTAGGGCAAAGTTACACAATGGGATATCTATGTTCTGCCTATCGCGGAGAATCGAACCCTCGAGTTTTGCATTGCAAGGTAAAAATAAAGGACGAAAGAATTAACTGAACGAGAACATTTAAATCCATAGCTGTTATTATTTCTATGTGATATATGTTTAAGACAAATTACTTATGATTAGGACCTAAGTTAAGTTTCCAGTAAAAAAACACAATATCATGCACTAAAAAAATAAACATTTGTGGGACATTTAAATCTAAAACAAAATAAAGTTATCTTCCTAACTTTCTTTATAATTTCATTAATTGTTTATCTCTACTATAATATCTGACCATTATATAAGTTTAAGTGGCACAGCTATGTATAGTTACTTCAAAATTCAAATTAGGTTTATATATTGATAACAGTTGACAGAAGAAGTTTTAAAAAAGTGTATCGGAAGTCAAAGTTCACTGAAAGTATAATATGGGTTTATGAAACAGGTGTGCTACTAAATAAAAGTGTGTAAGTTAGCTCATATATTAATATAACTTTCCTAATACTTCAAAATTAACAGATGTGTGAAATATATCGCTTATCGTCGTAACTACAAGTTGTTGCTCATGAGAACTGCATTTCATTAATCCTGTTTGGTTTCGTTTGGTGTTCGTCTAAAGTATGATGGTTTATAATTTCCCATGACTTTTAAACTACCGATTATGACAATAACGTTAATGAAAAAAAAAAGAATAATATTTATAAGCAGTCAAAACTGATCATTAAATTTGTTGAAAACAGGAAAGGTAACAAAACTTTCAACCTGTACAATTAAACAGTAGAAAGATGAGAATTATAGAGTGAAATATGGGCAGTGAAATTCAGAGTTAATAGGTAAAGACTAGTGAAATATTTCAGTTTCTTCAGCTACTAGAACGGTTGAATTTCTTCAAAATCATGATCGTCAGTCTCTTTATATTTGGACGTAGTGATTTTGAGAGTTTCAATAAATAGTTACTAATAAATGGCCGCTTCATGTTTTCACGCTTATGCAAGTAATTCCATATGTATTCTCTTTGCGTTATAATGCTGTGTTTTTTAATATGTTTTCTTATGCATTGTTATTATACAGTATTTTGTTCCTTTGTTATTCATTTAAGTTGTAACACATTTTTGTTACTGTGTTTTACTAGCTTTACCATGATTTTTAAAATGGAGTCAATTCAAATCTTTGTTGTTTCTTCAGGAACTACTACGACAGGTTACATGTGTAATAAAACCAAATATTCGTAAGACGTTTAATACAATTTTCATCGAAATCATGTTCAAATGTACGAGATTCTAAACAGTGTTTTACACCATGTAAGGAATAAATGGAAAACTATTTGTTGCAAAATCTCGTAATGTCTGCAATTATTATATTCTAATAATATATTTCATTGCGTCTTTTTGTTTAAAACCCTTTTTTTCATTGCTAGGTATATGACAATGTTTCTTTCCTTAGATTACGTGTAATATAACCTTTATTTAATGCTAAAATCTTCCGCTGTTCGATCCACGCCGGCCATTAATTTTATTCGGCCTATCAAAACTTTTTAGTCTTTTAGAAATAAATAATAAAACTGTAATTTAATAGGAAAACGTAGAACACGTAAGTGAATCAAGAGAAATAACAGTTTGAAGCCCCCATAAGGGAAGGATGTGAAATCTAAGCTAAAAGTGTGTTACACATTCACCGTTACAGCGGAGTTACATTCAAGCAGAAGAAGATAAAACTTCTAAACAACCGCATTTTCTGTCATGCTGTTTTCCCCTCTTCTACAATTATAGTATTTTACTACCAATTTAATGGAACTTGGTCATTAATGCCATTGCAAGATCAAGGATACCTCACTTTCTTGTAATTATTTATTCATAATTAATATAGGAGTTAATATACGCAAGAAAAGATATTCCGAAAACACTAAATTATTTACATGGGAATTAGCGAAAAACTTCAAATACAGCAAGTTAAACACATTACGAGATTTACAATTTATAAATCTTTACTTCTTAAATCATTATTTAAATTTATTATTTCATTACAAGTTACAGCTTTTACAGTAAGGAAGAATATTTTTGTCGCACAAGGAGATTTAAATAAAAGTGAAAGTTATTAGTTAAAGTCAGCTTTAAAATGATTGCATTGACGTAAACTTACTATACATATGCACACATAGAATTGTGAACATTTAATTTCTTTCAAAAATTATAAGTGTCAAACATGTAATAAATTGTAAACAAAAGAACATTCTGGTGTCACTAATGAGGTATTACAATGGCATTGCCACTTTTAAATTAAACATGTTGGCATAGAGCTTCTTGCTGTTAAGTTAGTAAAACTCCTTATATTCATGGTTCGGTATGTGATATTTCCCTAGTAGGGTTTTTTACATAAAGTACAGCAGAGCAATTATAGCGTACGGGTTCTTTCAAACCGCTTTAAAAAAATCATTAAAATACCCGCTAAGAGTTATTTGATTTTCAGTTTATTTCTCTGCCTTATAAAGGATCTCTAATGGGTTCTATAGGACCAGAAAAAGAAGTCCCCCGCTGGGAAAGTGATAAATTCTCGAACTTACAAAGATAAATTCCGGGGTTCGATTCCCTCGGTAGACAAAACAGATGTTCTAGTGTGACTTTGCTCTAAAACAAACGAATAGAAAGAGAAATGCTACCCTCATTAGTAAGAAAAAAGTACATAGATGTTCGCTAAACAATAGTTCCTCAAAAGAAAAACGACAACGTGTATTTAATTATGACAATTTTAGTAACGTTGTCGTAACTGTTTCCTTTTTAACAGTTGCCAACTTTGATCGCTTCTATTTCAACTTTCTAGAAATAACTATTATTTATTAAATAGAATACTCTTCTAAGAGTGAACAACTTAGATTTATCCAGCGTGATGAATTTATAGAAACAGTAACTTTTTCAGTAATTCTATAAAATAAAATATTCTCAAGTGTATACAATATGATCAAATGTTGCCAAGTATTTGTAAATTATTACACAAAGTAGGTAGAATTCATGTAAGCAGTACAGAGATCTTTTTAACCAACGATACTATACAGTCACTATGTATGTATATATATATATACAGAGAGAAAGAAAGATATATGTTACCATACACAAATCACGCATCTTCACTACTAAACAACAGAGTTCTAAGGGGTCCTCTTCATACCAAAATGTGTTACTCTTCTTTCGTTTTCACTCTCAGCCTTACATCAAAATATGGATATAACTACATCTTTCATAAGAAGCGGAAGTTTTGGTGAAACAAAATACAACATACCACATATACACACATAACTTGGGAATGAATAACTTGAAGGTGTGCAGTGGATGTTATAAAAGTGTATACAGTTAGGGACGACAAAACACAAATTCGTTAAAATGATTCCAGCGGTTTTCTTCAGAGTCTTGGCCAGGTTTTGGTGGTTCGTTGGAGATTCCACTGCAGGATGTCCCTGATCCAGCCGCCCCCACACAATGGAATCCAGCCTCTTGGAGGCAGTCAAAAGCCTGTTCCAAAAAGTTGTGTTTCAGAAAAAATCGTGCTGTGTATCGATCATCATTACATCTGTCAGGGTCTCGGCTTTCGTTGAGGGTGTCACCGAATACCTCCCGGCATATTCCGACTTTACCACATACCAGAAGTCTTGTCAGTTTACGGAACTTGACATCTGCTAGCCCATCTCTACCAAAAGCGAATGTTCCTCGGTAGGCAACTGTGATATAGCCGCGTGGTCCGTAGGTTTGCTTATTCATCTCGACAGCCTTAGAAGATACTTGCATAGTTGAGAGAGTGGGAATGCACTCCACCATAGCCGGAAGAATGAAATATTCGGCCTCTCGTCGTAGCCGGTCTCGTTCGTGAAAGTTCTCTGGTAACAATAATTTCTGGTTCCGCAGGAAATCCAGAACGTACCGAAATAATACTCCATCCCTGTCAATAAAGTACTTCCCTTTCGAGTCACGTGGCACAGGTTTACTCCCTTTGTTAGTAAACAACTGACCCAAGAGTGAATCGGCGTCAGAAGTCAGAGTTTTTAATGATGTTGTGTAAAACACACCTCCAACATTTAGTTCCACCACGGAGGGAAAGTTTGAAGGCTTATCATCTCCGTTGGCTGTGGAGGACATGGGGAACTGTTGATGCAGAATTATCCTAAATAAAGTCAAAGTTGAAAATTTGCGTCAATTTGTAAGTAGAGTTTTCTATTCTTCCAATTGATCAGTGTCATATGTTTGCGATTCTGTTCCTACCCACACTTTATTTTTCTTCCCTAACCAATATTCAAGCAGGATTTCAGACTTAATTTTCAAAGGGGGTATTTCTGTGAGCTAGAGTAACTTCATTCCATATGATATAGAATTGATCGCATGCACTCTATATAGTACTGCAAGTGCCAGAAAATCAATAATGTGCTTTACGTCATCGTCAGGAAACTGTGTTGCCCTCTGGTTAAGTTTACTCTTACTCTTTCGCTTTAAAAAATTGCAATGTAGTGAAGATAACACAGGCCTGCTATGGGTTTTACTGTCTTGGAATTTTTACATACTCTGTAGTAATTCCTGTACGCTGAATCCGAAAATGATATCCATTTTTCTCCATCACGTACAGATTTTTCACAAAACGTCATAACGCAATACATAAACGATAGACCACTTGAGACTAAAACATGTAGATTTCACGAATACAAAAATCAGGATGAATGAGGATGCATATTTGTTTGACATCAATGTTCTTCCATTTTCTTCAGGTTGTTTGTATTTTT